TTTAGCCGCAACACCCATATTTTTCTCGGTTTGAGTAGTTTCGCTATGAGTGGAGTCGTACCATTGGGGAAAAGAGAGATAGTTGTTGCAGTCAAATGTTTTCTAGTGGTGGATTGAATATGTGAACTTTGATCAAAATTTATTGTATGGAGTGGTCTGGTTTCCCTGGAAGTCAGGTATTAATTTTAAGTCTTCGACTTATGGATAAGGAGCGGATCTACTCGATGTTGGTTAGTTCTGATGGGTTGAAATTTGTTTCTTCGATGGGTCATGTATAGATCGTTGTGGATTGATTCGGCTTTTGGTATCAGTAAGAAATTGTTGGTTAAGGTTGTGTTCTGAAGTAGTTTGGGATGAAATTTCGACTTCTGAAGGTTTTCGTTCGGGTGTGGTTTGTGCGCTTAGTCTTGGAAATCCTTGTAATTTTAGTCGCAATTTCGGGCATTCAGAGAAGTATCGGCTTGTGTAGGATGGGAGTGGAATTGGAGAACCCACAAGGGGTTTGGGGGTGTTATGAGAAGTAATGGATAGGGACAGATTTCGAGGATGAAATCTAATTTAAGTGGGGAAGAGTTGTAATATCTCGTTTTTCTTGATTAGATCAGCAAAGACTTAACATGATCAAAGATGGGATTTTCTTCTTGATTAGATTAGAAAAGACTTAACATGATCAAATATGGGGTTTTTGGAGAAAACCCTACGCCACAGCGTGGTGCATGGGTTCGCACGACGTGGCCATGGCCAAAGAATACGCGAGAGTTTAGTGGGCGCCACGGCATGGTATCCATTTAATGAGAAACCCTAATTTCCAAGGTTTGTGCCCCTGTTTAAGGAATGTGATAGCTAGGGTTGCCTACCCTCGGCCTCTAACGCACTCTCTCAGCCTCTAAAGCAAACCCTAGCCTCCATTGTTAACTTTTGAGCTTTTATGGTGTTTGGTGGTGTCTTAAAGAAGAAGAAGGTGACCCTTGAACCTTTGTTTCAACAAGAAACTCTCCCCATCCTCTTTGTGCATGTTTTCTGGACTCTTGTAAGTCCTCAAGTTCTAAACTTTATGACTCTATGTGTTTAGATCTAGATTTTCTTCTGCTTTTCTTCATGATTAGGCTAGTTGGAGTGTTGGGGTTCCATAAGTTGCCAACTTTATGGATCCCCAAGGTCCCTTTATGGTTAGAAGCGATGGATCTGAATTTTGATAGAGCTTTGAACTGTTGCATGAGATCTTGTCCCCATTTTACACCATTTTGACCTAGCTTGAGCTCAGGACATGCATTGGACATGCATGTCTATAAATCTGCAATTTTTATGATCTTTTGGAAGCATTCTGGAAAGTTTGAATGAACGGGGAAAATGATTAAGAGCTTAATGGATTAAGTTGGTCTAGAAAGTTCCCACGACGTGGAGGTTAGTCGCCACGCCATGGCGTTTGACAGATTCTCATCTATTTTGTCCTATTATCCCCACGACGTGGCATAATCTTGTCCACGTTGTGACGACCGGCTGTTGACTTTTGACTGTTGACCGTTGACTTTTACTAAGTTTGACTTTAGGTCAAATTCAGGGATTTTAGGTTGTAGTTTGAGACTCGATCTATGTTTGTTGTATAGATGAATCGTAGAGTCGGTCTTTGGATCTGTGATCAGTTCGACTATCTTCTAGACTTCGAGGTTAGTTTTTTCACTGTACCCTTGGGTCGAAGGCACCAATGTCTGCTTATTAGTTTGTTTTATATATCCTTGTCTATAGGATGTTGTTATGCTATAGTGATCGGGTATATTGGTAGATTCGTATTATTACATGTACTTACTAGCTATTGATTATTGTTTGCATATGTCGACATGGTGCAGTTGGGTTGATGTAATACTGCTTTGTACGGTAAGCCAACAAACCCGGGAGCAATTCAGTCATAAGTTGATGACCGGGAGGGCAATCCAATCTTATGTTGTGGGCTCGGGAGCAATCCAGTCATAAGCTGAGGGTCAGGAGGGCAATCCAGTCTTATTTGTGGGCTCGGGAGCAATCCAGTCATAAGGTGATGGTCGGGAGGGCAATCCAATCTTATGTTGTGGGCTCGGGGAATTCCATTATTATGTTTTGGGCCCGATACGCATGCATTGTATATATATTGTGGTGTGTGGTATTTGGGGGAACTCACTAAGCTTTGGCTTATAGTTGTTGATTTTAATGTTTCAGGTACTTTTGATGTTCGGGGCAAGGCGAATGCGTGATCGTACACATCATCCTATGGTTTTATGCTTTGAGAGATTGACTTGATACTATGATTTTCTTGGATATTATTTGAAAACATTAGTTATTTATCTTTGGTTTCTAGTGGAAATGTTTTTATAAAAATGAAAAAATTTATCATGGTTTTTGGGATGTTACAACTTTGGCAAATACAATTGGATGTAAATCACGTAATATGTCAATGGACGCATGATGGAGTTGAAGTTAGTCAAAAGTTTTCATTTTTTTAAGTAGATTGCTCCACTGGCACCGGAGAAGCAATCGACAAAGCGGATGGAGTAGTGGACTTGACGGAAGAAAATCATTTAGAAGATTTGGTCTCAGTTGTCTCTTAGGATTGGACTTGGTATTTTTGTGATGGCTCATAAAATGTCACAAGTTTATGGCTTGGTTTATGCAAATATACATGCTTATGATGTTTAATTTTATGTTGATATTATATTTGGTTGAAAAATAGGATTTTTCATGCTACATAATAATTTAAACATAGAAATCATAACATAGAGTTTGGTTTTTAAAGACTTTTGAATATAATATGTATAAAATGGTTTTAACATAAAATGAGTTTTATCGTTTAAAACTCTAAAACAACAAATTTTGAAGATTAAAATTAATAAGTTTACAATAGTGATTTTAGAGGCTTATATGTAATGTCCCAATATTAAAAAAAACATTTATATTTATTATAATTCTCATTCAATTTGTTTCTTAACCAAAATCATTAAGTTTCAAGTACTCAGAATAATATTTCAAAACAGACTTTTAACAATATCCCAATCCATTTGTAACTCAATCAACAGCGGAATACTAATAGTGATAAAATTTCGTATGAAGTGTATGTGACAAGGAGCCAATCTTCAAACCACGCCAGTATATAGTCAAGTTTTTTCCTTACCCTTATTCGTACCTGATGTACTTGTAATAGTCATTTATAAAAGAAAGGGTAAGCACGAAGTTTAGTGAATTCCAACACAACATAACCTTAGAAGCATTGTACCCTACTCCTACTTATCATTCCATTATCAATCATACAAGCATATAGATAGAATAACCATCAAAATCACATAACTCATGCATGTTCAGGAACACATCCTAAACAACACCCAAATAAGGACTTGGCATTACCGCCTTCGGTCCACGAACTTCGTGTTTCCTCCTTCGGCCCCCTGACTTGGCACAATGGCATTCGGTCAGTATGACTCGACACAAGGCCTTCGATCAATCAACTTGGCATTTCAGCCTTCGGCCCCAAACACATCAAGTATAATCCATACAACAATTATAACATCAACTATTAATCACATAGTTCCTAGTCTTACTTGACCTAACAGTAAGCATATAACACCCTAAAGTTATGAAGTGAGGAACTCACCTCCGACTGTTTGTGAATCACCCCCGAACAAAGGCCCAAGCTCCAGGAGTCAAGGTGCCTCCTTCTTCCCTATATTAGTGTTATATAATATTAGCAACACTCATAGGTCCTTAAATTCACTAAACATTCCTAGGTTTATTTTACAGCTTTTTACATCAACTTTATGTTGACGCTTTTTAAATCATATGTATCCTCAGGAACTTAAAAGTCAGACGTTTCAATCTTTTTGGAAACATTCATGGAAATCACGATGTACTATTTTTTGCTATTGTTATCGTATATTATGTTGTCTGTCTGTTAAGACACTGCTTGTACTTTACTTTTCTGTATTCTAAAATGTAGTGCGATATGTAATATTTTATTTAATGGAAGTGATATTTATGGTATACTTTTGTGTATTCTTCAGTGTAATCAATATCTATGATCCATGATGACGTCGCACAATCTGACATTTTCGTCGCCGGCCAGGGGTGTGACAAGTTGGTGAACATAAAACCCATCAATATCCACCATATCAATGTACGAGATAGTACCATCAATGTACTTCACGTCTGGAAATCTAGTGAACTCACCACTATGATAGAGTTTAATGGTGAACAAGGTACGCATTCCAGATTCAAAACACAAAACAAAGGTATACTCTATTTTTTCAAAATTAAGAAACAAGATCATCTACTTACCATATAACAATTTTGTGTCTACTTTCTGCTTCTGAGGTCAGAATTGCCATATTTTGAAGCTTATGTACAACAAAGACGATGAAATGATTACATTCGATTAAGGTCTTACAGAGACAACTGATCAAGCTCTTTCAATGAGGGTAATGAGGGGACAACTGATATTTAGGGATTAATTATGTAAAGAAGAACATGTCGGCGGTAAGGGAAGTAAAGAATAGGAAATGACGAAAATACCCATCACGTGTCTCGCACATGGAGAGAGTTACCGTGAGTTTTGGATGGTTGTTAAGTGGATGGGCCAATTCAGCACGGTAGTTTCGATTTTGGACAATCCGTGCGTGAAAAAAAGAAAGGGAAAATGACATATACGCCCTATTATGTTTCTAGGGTTTACCCATTTAGCCACTTAACTTATTTTGTGGCTTAATAAGGGAACGAAGTATATGTTACCTATCAATATAATCTCTTTCACCTATTGTAGCCGGTTTACAATGCCACATAAGCCTAGCTTAACAAGTAAGCGATGACATGGCAAAAATTTGAATCGTCCAGCAACCGCAACGATGTCGTATTGAATGTGAATCGTAAGGAGCACGCTTCGACTGTTCACACGCCTCCGTATAAAATCAATACTTTTTTGCCCGAAAATGGCACATCTACAAACTTCATTACCCCAATCTCGTCTCTAAGTTTACTCCAAAATGCCTTCGATTGGACATGCAGAACACATCTGGTCTCCAAACTACCGCCGTCACATGGATGCGAATCAATCCAATGGTGTAACCAACAAAGACATGGCCATCAATCTACTACAAACCCAGCTGGAATTGTCTCTTATAAGGGACGACTTCCAAGACCAGTTGTGTGAGCTCCGACAGGCTGTTAATCGAGACTCAGATGCCATGAACCGTGAGGTCAATGACGTTCGTGATGGTCAGTTGGATATCTCTCATCTCGTTGCTGATCTTAAGGATCATTTCATTTCTCTACAAGGATCCTATGTGAAGATTGTAACATCCCAGTTTTCAAGGCCAAAAATTTTGTTTTTGATTAAGTAACTTATAAAACACTTTACGGAAAAATGTCATCGATTGATATCATTTCATAAAACATAGTCACATGTCTCAAAAACCACATCATAAAATAGTAATAATGTCAGAGTACAATCCCAAGAATCTCATAATGCGGAAATCCTGTGTGTGTGAGATGCGCTGCTACCGTGCCGATTCCTTCCCCTTCGAAGAAGAGGTACCTGAAAACAAAACTGGAAACTGTAAGCACAGAGTTTAGTGAGTTCCCCCATCATACCACATACCATACTATAAACATACTACCAGGAATCTCTGGGTGCCCGACTTACCCTGCTAGGCATACCAGGGTGCCTAACCTACCCATGTCATACATACCGGGGTGTCCGACCTACCCCTCCGGTTTATCTCACCTGGTTACGGTGACTATTTCACCCCTACTACTACCACAACATAACATAATCATACTAGCACATAAAACATATCAGGTAGTAGCAAACCTAGATAATTATCACAAAGACAACCATCTAGCAAACATCTCCTACTAGTGGGCTGGCATTGTGGCCATACACCCACTTCTACTGGAAGGTAACTCACCTCAATGCCGTGAAGTGTCTGAACTGTCCTCGATGCTGTAATCAACTCCTCTCAAACTCCTACACATAACAACCTTCCTTAATTACCACTTCATACTTTTAACCCTTTCAAGGGTCAACTCATGTCAAAGTCAAAGTCAACTTTCGGTCAAAGTCAATATTTGGTTGACTCAACTCGCCGAGTTGGTCTACCAAATTGTCGAGTTCCATAATCCACCAAATCCTGGAACTTTGATCCTACTCGTCGATTCTTTCAAGAACTCGTCGAGTTCTCCTTCATACAAAATCGACACCTTTTTGCTCTTGACTCGCCGAGCTCGTCCATGAACTCATCGTGTCCTTCTTCATACAAGTTGAAGCATTTAGTCCTTGACTCGCCGAGTTCTTCCTTGAACTCATCGAGTTCTTCTTCATATAAGTTGGGACATTGCCTTGAACTCGCCGAGTTCATCCTGTAACTCGTCGAGCTCTTTGATCTTCAAGTCCATCATATTAAGTCCTCTTCTAGACTCACTCAAATTGTTCATAAACAGAAAAGGTTGGGGAACCATGACCCGACTCGCCGAGTCCTATGAACGACTCGCCGAGTCCCCCAAAGTCCAAGTCTGCCTAGTCGATTTCAGTCGGGCTTAATGCATCCAGAACATAAATCTGGCCTCCTAGGATCGATATAGCACGTAAAGTTACAAACTTTACGTGCATGCATGGGTTAACTAGCTCATAAGGACCCAAAATGAAGTCTACATGGTGCATGGGACTCCCATGGCCATAAAGCAGGCACCTTTATGCAATGGGAACCCTTATAGGTTCCAGATCTGAAATACAAATCCATGGATACACACAATCCCGAATATGGCTTCACTAAGACTTAGAAAAAGTAGAAAATAGCCCTAAATGGATATCTAAGAAATGAATAGTCAAGGTATCAGCTTTATACCTCAAATGAGCTGGAAATGTGCCAAAACCTGTGGATCTACTTGCTTTCTATTGATCTCCCAAGCCTCCTCCTTCTTCTCAAGCTTCAAAGACACACAAATGGCACAAAAAGGCTCAAGAACACCCAATATTTGATTAGGGTTTCGCAAAGAGAGTCTGAGGGTGATGGAGGCTGGAGTGGAGACCCTATAAGTTGTTTAAATAGGGCGCAAACCCTCAAATTTAGGGTTTCATCCAGACATGTCTACTCGTCGAGTCAGGGTTTCCGACTCGGCGAGTAGACTCTTCCACCCGCGTCCAATCATTCGCATCTACTCAACGAGTTGGGCCTCCAACTCGTCGAGTCCCTGTGTAAATATGCAAAAACTTATAATAAAAATATGTACCGGGAACCGGGCGTTACAAATCTCCCCCACTTATTGTAGACTTCGTCCTCGAATTCTGTTGCTGCATCTGGAAAAAGCTCGGGGTAGTGCTCCCTCATCTCTAGTCCTCCAGCTCCCAAGTCCATTCTAAACCCTTGCGGTGCGGCCATTGCACCTTCACCAACTCGACCCTCTTGGTCCTCAGATCCTTCAATTCCTGTCGAGGATAGCTACTGGTCGCTTAATGTAGTTCAGGCTGTCATCCACCTGAATATCCTCTAGAGGCACCACTACAGAGTCGTCTACCAGGAATTTCCACAACTAGGAGACGTGAAAGGTACTGTGAATCTAGCTAAGCTCGGCTAGCAGATCCAGCCTACACGCCACCTTGCCCACCCGGGCTACAACCCTCAAAGGTCCAATGTACCTGGGGCCCAACTTGCCCCGCTTCCAGAACCGGATGACACCTTTCCAATGTGACACGTTCAGGAGAACCATATCCCCGACCTGGAACTCTAGGTCCGAACGACGCTTGTCGGCATAACTTTTATGCCGACTCTGAGCAGTCTGAAGCCTGCTCCAAACCTGTTGGATCCTCTCCGTCGTCTTGACCCTCTGCCCAACTTCTCCCCAGCATATCGGGGTCCTTCACCTCCTCCCATATAACATCTCGAGGGGGGGGGATGGTCGATACTCGTGTGGTAGCTATTATTGTAGGAAAACTCTGCCAAGGGAAGGTAGGTATCCCAGCTACCACCGAAGTCTGAAACGCATGCCCGCAGCATATACTCTAAAGTCTGGATGGTCCGCTTGCTCTGACCATCCGTCTGCCGGTGAAAAGTAGTGCTAAAGTGCAGACGAGTACCCAACTCGTCATGGAATTTCTTCCAGAACCTGGAAGTGAATCGCACGTCTCGATCAGAAATCACGGAAACTGGTACTCCGTGTCGAGCTACTACCTCTCGGATGTAGATATCGGCCAATTTCTCTGCCAAGATACTCTCCTGGATCGGTATGAAATGAGCACTCTTGGTCAACCGATCCATGATGACCCAAATCGAATCAACTCCCCGTGCGGTCCTGGGAAGCTTTGTGATGAAATCCATAGTAATATTTTCCCATTTCCACATAGGGATATCCAATGGTTGCGTCTTGCCGTGAGGCCTCTGGTGCTCGGCTTTGACCTTCCTGCAGGTCAGGCATCTCTCAACGTACTAGGCTACATCCTGCTTCATGCAGGGCCACCAATAATCAGGACGAAGATCTCTGTACATCTTCGTCGCCCCGGGATGAATCGAGAATCTGGATGTGTGCGCCTCTTGCATCAAAACCTGGCGCACGCCTCTATGATATGGAACCCACACTCTACGGTGTAGTGTCAACAACCCATGGCTATCATAGTCGAAGGAAGAAACCTGACCTACAATACGCTCGCTCTTCCGATGTTCCTCCTTCATAGCCTTCTGCTGGGCCTCTCGGATCTGCTCCAGCAGTGGAGTCACTACTGTCATCCGCAAGAAAATGTCTCTGATTGGGGCTGACTTGCGGCTAAGAGCATCGGCCACAACATTGGCCTTCCCCGGGTGGTATAGGATCTCACAGTCGTAATCCTTCACCACATCTAGCCATCGACGCTGCCTCATGTTTAGATTCGGCTGATCCATGAGGTACCTCAGACTCTTATGACTCGTGTAAATGGTACAACGGACCCCATAGAGGTAGTGTCGCTAAATCTTGAGGGTGAAGACAAACGCCCCCAACTCCAAATCATTTGTTGGGTAGTTCGCCTCGTGAGGCTTCAGCTCGCTCGAGGCGTAGGCGATGACGTGCCCTCTCTACATCAGTGCTGCGCCCAAACCCGATATGGATGCATTGCAGTACACTACAAAATCCTCCACGCCCTCTGGCAGGGCTAGGATCGGCGCCTCGCATAGTCTCTGTCTCAATGTGTCAAACGTTGCCTGCTGCTCAGGCCCCCAACGAAAGACCACGACTTTCTTCGTCAATTGGGTCAAAGGTACGGCTATCTTGGAGAAGTCCTTAATGAATCTCCGGTAATAGCCTGCTAATCCCAGGAAACTCCGAATCTCGGATGGAGACTTCAGAACCTCCCATCTCATCACGGCCTCCACCTTGGTGTGATCAACCAAAATCCCGTTCTGGTTGACAAGGTGCCCAATAAACTGCACCTCCCGCAACCAGAACTCGCACTTAGAGAACTTGGCGTACAAGCTCTCCCTCCTCAAGGTATCCAACACCTCTCGCAAGTGCTCCTCGTTCTACTCCCACGTCTTGGAGTAAACCAAGATATCATCGATGAAAACTATCACAGACCGATCCAGCATCGGTCTGCACACGCGGTTCATGAGGTCCATGAACGCAGTAGGAGCATTGGTGAGCCCGAAGGGCGTCACCACGAACTCGTAGTGGCCATAGCGAGTCTGGAACGCAGTCTTCTGTACATCCTCGTCTCTGACCCTCATATGATGGTAGACTGAACATAAATCTATCTTGGAAAACCAAGATGCCCCCTGTAGCTGGTCGAAGAGATCATCAATCCTCGGGAGTGGGTAACGGTTCTTCACCGTTACCTTGTTCAGCTCCCGGTAATCTATACACATCCGATGCGACCCGTCCTTCTTCTTCACAAACAGGATCGGGGCTCCCCAGGGTGAACTGTTCGGCCTAATGAATCCCTTGTCTAACAACTCCTGCAGCTGTGTAGACAACTCCTGCATCTCAGGAGGAGCCAACCGATATGGTGCCTTGGCTATCGGAGCCGCACCGGGGACCAGCTCGATCCAGAACTCCACCTGCCTCTCCGGAGGTATCCCAGGCAGCTCCTCTGGGAATACGTCTGGGTACTCACGCACCACTGGGACATCACTCACGGTCGCCTTACCCACTTCCCGGGTATCCATAACATAGGCGACATATCCTGTGCAACCCTACTGAAGGTAGCTTCTAGCCCTCGCTGTTGAGCATAAAGTTGGTCCACGTTGTGGCCTCTCGCCCTGAATCACCAGCTCTCCCCACTTGGGGTCCTGACCCGTACCAACTGCCGCGCACAGTCGATCACTGCCCCATTAGGGCTCAACCAGTCCATGCCTATGATAACCTTGTTCCCACGCAA